CCCAAGCTGCGTGCATTTGCATAGATATGTCCTAAGCTGTTCTGACAACCCACAATCCTAACATAAAATTCAGTGCAATGAAGCTTTTAGGCTCTATTCAAATGTCCAGCAGAGTAGACTTGAACGATCACCTGATACAGGGGTGTGATCAAGGTCTCTAATGATCCTGACACAATCAAATTGTTCAATGCAGCATGTACATTTTGATGTAACTCCAAGCACAAAAGAAAACACATCTCCAGACCATTTCCCAAAAGCAGGAGTGTTCACATAGATAATAACCTGAGCTTCATTTTCACAAATTAAAAGATCATAGAAATGTTAATTCTGGAATGCATATATCTTTTTTTTTTCCTTGATTAAAAAAAAAACTCTATCTGCATCATGTTAAAAAACCTATTTTTTTTCCTGAAAAGACTGTGCCGAAGGTTCATTTGCGTTTCTTAACATAAACTGCAAATAAAGAACCCTTACTAATTCTTAATGCACTTGGAGACTGCTGACACGAAAATATTATTTTACATGTTTGCAGGTCTTCAGATTTTTCTCATCAATGCATTTGCTCATTTTCCTCCTTAAGTAAATTTATAGCCCTGGTCATGAGAATCTAAGCACTGGAGGTTTGGTTGACAAGAGTCAAGAGACACAGAACTCAACTGCAGCTCAGCTTCTCTCACAGTGTGGGTGTCCCACAAAGGCTCTTCATGAACACAGCTCAGGACTCCATTAGGAATGGCCATTCCTAATCTACAGCAGCACAGAGTAGGGGGTAGCAGGCAGAACTGCATAATGTACTTCAATTGTCCTAAATTCTGGGTCTTAATCACATATCCTCTAGCAGCATGTGTGAGACATCAATTATATGAGAAAGTATTTAATTCTAACAGTTCTGAATTTCCTGCTTTAATTTCAAATCCTCTTGTTCCCATGTTATGAGACAGAAAATGAGAGTTTCTAATCTACTTTATATTCATTTTTTGTGCACAGTTTTTATGCAGTCTCGTATTTCCTTCTAAAGCCAGTGCATTAATATCTGGTTATCAGACGAACAAGCTAGAATCTCTAGATTCTCTTGATATAAAATGGCAGAACATACACAACTGACTGAAAGTCAAGAAAGCCAAGTAGGCTCTGGGACACAAAATGCAAATTATTACTGCTAAGCTGTTGTCCCATTTTATGTAAAACTGTCAGTTGTCAATTATTTGGAAATTAGACCTAACCATTTCATAACAATTATGTCTGTTAAACCATTATGCCAATGAAGTATGACTTAAAAAAAGCGAAGTGCTAATGAAACCCAGTGTTACAGCATTACCTTGTGAAGATGAGAAGAGAGTCCAAATGGTGAACAGAATATGCTCAGGTACGTGAAGGTCTTACAGTTTGGATGTTACTTGGCTTTCAAATACAACAGGCAGCAAGATGATCAGTCTGATTAGCAGCACTGCATGTTATTAAAAGCCAGGTTTTTCAATCCTCTAGCACTATGTGGTTAAACAGGGCTTTTATCCTACTACTGTAATTTTATAAATTAAACATCTCTTTTATTGTTAAGCATGAGCTGTGTTTAAGACAGAAGTGATATTTCTTGTCAAAGGCAAACAAATTTCAAGACACCAATAGCTAACAAGGAATTTGAAGCATTCAAACTGGAACTTTTGGAAACCTCACACATCATTTTGTGCGGTTGCCAGTGATGCCACCAACATCAGATAATAACAGGAATTTATTTAATTTATGTCATTTCAAAAGAACACAAGCCTGTTTATAATTCAGTTTACTCCTGTAAATCAAGTACTCTCTTGTACACTGGAAGCCTGTGTTGCCTACCAACTCGGTACCTCATCAGCAATTGTCCTTTTTAACAAGATGTTTTAAAAGTTACATTGACCTTTATCATTATATTAACAGAATTTTTCTGGAATGAAATATACTGTGGTGGAAACCCCTTTCAGGACTGCCTTCCTGGAGATGTGTTTCGGAGTCTCTAGAGTAAGTAAGGACACATACTGCCCCAGGCAACAGAAATATATCTCATTTCAAAGATTCCACACCATATAACAGAGAAGAAAACATAGATCAAGTAAATTAACTAAGACTGATTTCAAACTGAAACAGATAGAATTTCCTTGACTTTGGATGGAGAAGTCCAGCAAAGTAACACCCAAAATCAAGGATTTTCTGTGAATGGAAATACTAATAATCTGCTGGACATTTCATAACATCTGCACCTAAACAGATGCTAAATGCTGTGTTACAGGGTTTAGTGAAGCCATGTACCAGGGAATGACATGGCCTAAAGCTGAATGAATTATGATATACCTAAGTCTGCAGACAAATGGAGAAGTTCATCAACTATGCACTGAGCAGGAATTATGAAATACCTCTTTACATCTGGGGCAATTGATATCAGCAAGGAGACTCTTATCTGGAATTCTCATTTGGCCAGAACCTGCGACAACTTAAGAGGGCAGGTTAGCAGATATTCTATTCAATGAATACTCTAAAGACAGACTAAATCATTTTAGTCATTGCCTAAAAAATGCTGAGGAATAGCAATTACATTTTCTAGCATTTGAATCACCTTCTTGTCAATTAACACCATAGAAGAATAGTACACAGCTCAAATGAGCTTGTTTCCTATTTCAAGGAGGATTGCTGATAGCACTCAAAGCAGATGGAAGAAAGTAATGATGAACTTGTAATAAATACCTCAGGAATAAGTCCAGCTCACTAATAAATACAATTTTCCTGAGCAGTTAAGAATGTGGAGGTGTAACGAAGCTACATGGCTTTGCATCTTCCCCTTCTCTGTGGACAAGTGTGACAAAAGATGTCCTTAAGACTGAACAGTCTGATACACCTCTTGAGCAAATTATTCAAACTCAAGGTTAGATGTGGTCCAAAACCACATCTTTTTTTATTTTTAGAATGTTTGCCACGAGATAGAGAAATTGGGTCTGTAGAAGTATTAAACACAGATGCAAGTCAGTGTGACGGTAATAATGCATTTTAACCATAAAATGCTACGAACTCTGATATAGTGGTAGTTCAATGGCTCAGACTGGATATTCAAAACTAATAGAAGACTTTGACCTTAATCTCTGTGTGCCTCAGCTTCCCATCTGCAAAATACAGATAATACCACTCTCTCATCTCACAGGGGATTTGTGAGGATGAACTCAGTCATGATTTTGAAGCATGCGTATAGCATAGTGAAAAACATCTTAAAAACAGTAGAAGACAGTGACTAGCTCAGTCTTTGGAGCACATGAGCAGTAACTAAGTTATTGGGAGATAAACAAAACGTTGACTAGCTATTGATTAATGAAACACTAAATATCCTGTGCACTCAAGTGAAATAAGAGGTCATGTGGGAAACAGCATAGGATCATATAATCCAAGACTGTATTACATGGTATAAGCACAGTGGAGTGAAATTAAGGTTGAGAGAGCAATCCTAACAGTAAAAGCTCTTAACCTTAGAGTCATAATCTTTTTAAGGGCATTCATCTTTTCCAAACTATCAATATAAATTTACAAGCACACACACGTACACCTAAGTTGTCAAAAACACATTAAAATTCTGTTACACAGAGGTGGGCAAAACCCCAGACACTGCTATTCTTAGTTCATCCAGCCTGTTTCTGCAAGAAACTGCTTCCAGTGTATCCTTAGTTCACCTTTTCAGAGAGTACTGCTTTCCCAAGGCTGCCTCGGGGTCCTGCTGACGGATTGCTCTAATTGCAGTAGGTGAAGTAAAGAAGGCAGCCACTTCATGCTCTGCTAGCACACGGAAATAGGCACCAGCATCTGGCGTTCCCACAGGCTTCCCCTATGGAGAGAATAATTTAAAATGTCACAGGATAAAAATACCTCATAATTCCTTGACAGTTCAAGGCTTGAACACGTAACAGTTGTGGTACCACAGCAACAGAAGTAATTTCAAGTAAGGCTTTAAAGAAGGCTTTGTTAAAAATAATAATACCGTAAGTGTATTCACTTTGCAGAAATAAATCCACAAACTTTGGGCACAATCTCTCACATAAGCACAGCACATACTAGCTGCTACTGAGAAAAACAGGACAAATGGACAGCAGAAAGAAAAGACAGCCACAAAGAGTTGTTATTACGCTGGCACTTACTACACGTACTGCGAAGCACCCTGTCATACACCCAGAGTCCCACTGAACTGGAGCCTCTGGACTCAGTGGCACTGCAGCTGTATCCCCAGGCCTACAGGACATAATTGCCAGCTTTTTCTTACCTAGGAATTTGCTCTCAATTCTGGAAAAACTCCCATTTAGCTGCTTACAGCCAGCTTCTTGGAACCTTTGTGCTGCTACCCCACATGAAGCCTGGAGAGAAGCTGAAGACTCCTTTTCTGTTTTAATGTGCTACCAGACCATGGTCTGGATTGTGGTTGGTTTTTTTTTTAAAAAACCCTAAACATTGTCTTGAGCCAAGGGGAATAGTCAAGAGAACTCTGAACAGTAGTAACCATGTGGCAAACTGTCCAACGGTAAGCAATAATAAAAAAAATAATCAAAAATAATTTTTAGTGGTGCTACAAATATGAAAAGCAGTCAGCACAGGATCACATAATCACAGTCTTATTCTATGTAATTACCACAGCGCATTAACTGCTCCATACGTATTTTGAAATTATGAAAATATTATGTTAACGTGGAATGAATTTTAGCCCTACAGATATTGCCCTAGCCTTTTCACTAGAAAGGCCACATTTGGAAGATGAACTTGGACAGAGCACTTAGATTAGAAGAGACATACACTTTTCATACTGCAATCACAGCTTTGACAATGCTTTATGCAAGAAGCCACAAACACAGAGAAAGTTTCACTACTGAAATGTCACTATTCTTACAGCTACAAGACAAATTCATAACTTCACCATCCTTGTGTAAATGCAAATTTGGGATAGATTATAGGTCCAGTGGAAAAACAAACCAGAATGTGAAACTCTAATTAATACTTTCCACTTTACCAAGATGCAAAAGGAACAGAAGCATTTGAATACCTTGGAGAATTCAGTACTTTTGTTCTGATAATGAGGCACTAGTAACACAATAAATGCTCTTATGGAAACACACACGAATCAAGTTAGATGCCCCACCCCAACACAGAAAGCAGCACACTGGCTGTGATGCAGGCTCACAGGAATTCAACCCTTTCCCTCTCTCGCATCTGCCCTCCCCACTGCAGTCTTCCTCAGGCTTGCTCAGCATCCAGCTGTGCCTGAACACTGGAAACTGCACCCATGAACCATGTGGCAGATTTACAGAACACAGGACGCCTGAGGTCAGATATGTACCATTGGCTTTGCAACTCTGTAGTGAGGTACTACTGGTAAGAGAAGTGCTGGAGCAGAGGATCACCATAAAAGTAAAAATAAAATAATAAAAAAAAAAAAGACAAAACGGAATGTGTAACTGAAAAGCCTTTTTGGAAAAAAAAAAAAAATGGAGCAGGCAGTGAAAAGTAAATGGAGATAAAACCAACAAAAGAAACAGTTCCTGGCCCAAGGGGCAGGGAGGAGTATCAGCAATGCCAAACCCCCTCTTTTTGCTAATCATCTCCCTAGAACGTTCACCTGCATAGCTGTAACCATCTAGTTAGGATTTCAAGTCCATGTCACTAACACTAAAGCAAATAGTCTCAGACTCTGAATAATTCAAAATTTCCATTAAATTCTCATTAACTAATTATGCAATTCAACTAGTACCAATAATCTCATACAGCAAAAACCCTGGCTGTGGAGCAATCTGAAATTGGTTAGTCTGCCAGTAAGAATGTAGGCTGTCATTTTTAACCAAATGGAAATGTCCAGAGCCCAGAAAAAGAGCTGTGTCTGGCCCTGAGCACACCTACTCTCTCCTAGGGGCTTGGCTGCCAATGCTCAAGGCCAGGTTTGCCATCATGTAGCTGTGTAACCTTGGATCAAGCCATTACAGGAACAGTAGTTGTGAGAAAAGATGAAAGGAATCTCCCCTTCCTTGGAATGTGATTCACACTCAGGACTTCACCCTTGGTCCCTGTCCAAGCTACATCACAGCCATTCCTGTGCACCACACCTCCAGCAAGCTCGAGCCTGAGCCTGAGCTCATCTTCAGCACAAGCAGCTAAACCTTCAGGAGTGCGTGGGGAGGCAGGCAGGGCTCTGACAGGTTGATATTTATGTCACAAGTAATCTGCAGCAGATTTGGTTTGGAGAAGCACCCCTCTCAGATGTAGGAGAAAAACAAATAAAACAAGCAGTGGAAGGAAAGGAACAGAAAATTCACCTGACAGTTCACAGGAAATAATACCCAAAGAATAAGAGGACACTTAAAATATTAATTTAGGAAAAACATCTGGCCCAGCTGTAAATATTCTTCCTGATTCTGCAGAAAAACTTACTCAGTGCCTTGGCAGCTGTTCACAGTTTAGCAAATGCATAAACAAAACCTGACATAAACAAAATCTGACATAAGCAAAACAAATCTGAGACAGTGAAAATTAATTTCAGAGCCCAAAAACCTACAAATAAAATTGCCAAAGAGAGTTCTCATTTATTACACAAAAATTTTAAGAAGTGCTTCAAGATGCCATGAAAGGCTCTCTACCACATGATTTTTAAAAAGTTAGCAATATAAATACTAAAGCACAGGGTAATTGAATTCAGAATATGCTGATAGATTGCTGAGTCAGCTGGGGACTACAAGCAAATGAGATGCTTCCACTGGATTTCTGCAGGGATCAGTTCAAGACCTGCTGCTATTAAGTATCTGCATTGATACAGGAGATGAAAATTAACTTTTAAAGTTACTGGCAGTATCTGTGGCTGGCAGGAACTGAGAGCATGGTAAACAAGAACAAGGCAGTGAGAGAGAAAGTGATGTGCCTCACCTAATTTAAAGAAGAAAAGTAGAAACAGACACTTCTTGTACCAGCTAGGAAAATTTGAGTAGAAAATACTTTTTAATAACCTACCAAGAGACTTTAAGACAGACAGACAGATAGGAACATCTTTCTGGCAGTACCTAGATTTAGCACGTAATTTATCAGACGTCTACCAGCTGAGCAGACATACTGAGGAAGAACGTGTTGATGGTACATGATTATGAAAGAAGATTCATAGTCAGGAGGCAAGAATGATCATGGGCATAGAAAAGTTCTCCTATGGAGAAAGTCAGAAGCCATCAGGACAGAGTACCTGAGGAAAAAGACATATAAGAGGAGCTATAATAAAATAAACAATGCCTGAGTAACAGCCCAGCAATTCCCTCTCTGTCTGACCCCTTACAGCAAGGGGCTCTTCAATAAAAGATAAATGCAGAATTATGAGGAAATTCTCTCTGCATAGCAAATATGATACATGGAACTCATTGCCACTAAAACCCAGTGATGACAAAGCACACAAAAAATCTGACATATCAGAATTCTAAACACTATGTTCATAGAGACTTTAATCCTTCCACTGCTGACCCTGCTGCCAAATGTCCACTAAGGACTTGCAATGATACACCCGACTGAATTTGTTCCACAAATACAATCAGTATGGATGATGGCAGAAAGATCACAAAATTGGCAAACGTCACAGACAGTGCTTGCTTTGAAAGCTGAAGATAAAGGCTAACAAGAACTGTAGAAAGGCTAGGTGCCTCCAAGAACTGTGCCAAATGCAAGTAATTTTAAACCTGTTGCTGCTGTTGTGTACCCTGCAGATCTGCTGCAACAACAGGAACGGGAAGGACCCCAGTCAACATTGTGTGGAAGGCTCCACGTAACACAGGGAGTAACTAGATTTTCTTCTCACGTCGCCCTGTTGCTTACAGCTTGCAATCCTATTAGCAAGAGCAACCCAGAGTGGGCTGTGAGACTTCAGGCAGCTTATTTATAGTTGAAGTTTGTCATGCCTTGGAGAGAAACAATCCAGGACAGATTACAAAAAAAAAAAACAAAAACCTTGCTGTATTCACAGGAATTCATTGCTGTCTTCACATTCCTGACAATGGTGTTACAGCAAGTAAAAACTGAGAGCATGTAGTTTCCATAGCAATTGTTAAAATGACAACTTGTCACCTACTAAGTAATTTAAAAATAAACAAATCACTTCAAGAAGCGAGGGTATGAAGTCAGCACAGTTTGTATTCAATAATGGTTGTCCCTAGGCAAAGGGGATGAGGTGTTCTCTCTGTGTATCTAAACAGCATACTGATACCCTCTATGTGAAAAAACATCATTAAGCAATCATTTAGGAAAAACTTTTTGACTACAAATTTATGAATATTCACTGTTAAGACAGTCTTCTGAGCAGAGGAAAAATTATACAGTATTCCTCTCTGTAAACATAATTTTTTCTCCCTGTGTGTACAGAAGCCTGGTTTTTCTTCCCATTTTTAATCCTCAAAAAGACAACACTGATGTGATGAACATATCAGTGGTCAAAAATGACTAATGCAAAACTACTGAAGCCTGCTCCTTATCTCTAAGAAACTGTCATTTTTCTCACACTGCTTTTGTCTTACACTTAACTAGTGTGGCGGTGGTTAATCCCTTTGGAATGAAGAATGTAATTAACACCTATGAAGTATTTAAACGTTATATATATCAAATACATACTATATATAACACAGTAATTTAACACTCAAGTTAACATGATATTTGATTCTATAAATTTGCATTTCTGCTATCAGAAGTTTTTGCTCACTATTCAGAATATCAAAGAAGTCAACCACAGTGGTCCCCAGACTTAAAATTCTATGAATTTAGTGGGAAATCACTGAAGTTTAGAAGACAAACTAGAAAATTAAATTCTTTTGCAAGAGAACTAAA